GGCCTCGGAGAGAAGGCAGAGAGCATCGAGTCTCCTTGGGGATTGGGCCACCCTACTTGAGCCTCCCTTCTTGGATCAGTCCCCTCCAAGATCTCCCCAAGATGGCTCCCAAGAGTACCCCAAGAGGCGCCCAGGAGGCCCCAGGAAGCCTCCAAGAGGTTCCAAAGAAGAGCCTCACAAGAGACCCCCCAAGATGCCCCAACAGGCTCCCCCTCCCCCTCCCCTCCCCCTCCCTCTCCCCCCCCCTCTCCCCCTCCTCCTCCTATTCTCCTCCTCCTCCTCCTTCTCCTCCTCCTCCTCCTCCTCTTCCTCCTCCTCCTCCTCCTGCTCCTCTCCCTCCCTCCTCTTCCTCACCCGCCCAAACAAGTCCTCCTCCCTCCTCCCCGTCCCCCTCTCCCTGCTCCCGTTCCTCCGATTTCTCCTCCATCCTCCCCCTCTTGGCTATGACAGACGTCTTACCCAGCCCTTCATTCCACTGCATGCTCCTCCACATCCCTGATCAAGGCATCTCGTCTGGGCATCGTTTCTGGATGGGCTGGTGTGGCTACTTTTTAGTCAGCGGCCGCAGGCGAGCGCGCCAGCGGCGGTTCTAGTCAAAGCGGGTCACGCAACGACGAATTAACCTAAAGCGACCTGGTGTGGCTACTTTTTTTTTACAGCCGCAGGCGGAAGCGCCAGCGGCGGGAGGTCGCGGGCGGGCCGCGGCCGCGACAAAATTACCTAACGCGCGCGGGGCCTGGTGTGGCTACACGAAGCGTTTAGAATAGAGCAGTAAGCAAACATGCGCGCGACCGCCCAGACAGGGGCCATCACTGCCTGCCCGCGCCAAGCGAACGTACTTGTCACGTGGTCATGCGCGCAGATGGCGGCCGCATTCGGTCGAGAATACATGCTGCCAAATACTTCATTGCCACCGGGGGGCAGTAAAAACAACGCCCCCTACAATAACTCAGGCTTTATACGCCAACCCGCAAAACGCACAACATTATGTTGTCTTCTGCGCAGGGAGTCGCGCGCCCAAATGGGACCGCGCAGACACAGCGACCGCCGTCGTCGCGTGGTTCGACACGCCTTGCGACCCACCGCCGAAACAGTAGCCCAATCAACCTCATGCATAGCTAACAAAAGCAGTCCGCGCCGGCGGCGCATCTGCGGGCCCCGGATCGTCGACCTCCCCACGCCCAGAGACGCTACGCGCCGCCCTCCGTCTCGGCTGCCGCGCGCAAGCCCAGCCCGCCGCAACGCGCGCGCAGATTTCTCGTTCGTCCGTCGAATCGCTATTTGACGGTCGAAACGCATCGTTGTCGGCGTCGGTTGGAATCCCGACGGTTTTGAGGGAGGCAATCCCACCAGCCCACTGGGCTAAGGTGGCCAAACGATATCTTTCTTTCCTCCTCCAAAAACCTATTTCTGTCCAGTAGGCTTGCCCCCACCCCAGCCCCTCCCTCCCTGAGTTTTTGCTTGGGGGCCCACGGGGCGTTAGAGCGTCCAAGATGGTCTTGGCGAGAAGGCCAAAGTCATTGATTCTACTGATGTTTTGGACCCATTTCGGTGATTTTTGATGGCCCCAGGGGGGGAGGCAAATTGGGACCCCCCCTTTTGATCGATGGCCTCCAAGATGGCCCCAAGAGGCATCCCAGGGCTCCTAAGGGACCCCCAAGAGGGCTCCAAGAGGGCGCCAAGAGGGCCTCAAGACCCTCTACTAAAAACCCAGGAGGACCCCAAGATCCCCCCAAAGAGAACACCAAGAAGGCCCCAAGAGGGACTCCGACGCTCCAAGATGGCCTCCAATTTGGCTCAAGATGGGCGACGATGGTTCGAGGCTTCTGACCTACCTCCAAGAGGCCCGGCAAGGACCACAAGACGGTTCCAAGTGCTCCCGGAGCCCCCTCAGGACCCCCCAACGAGCCCAAATCCCTCAAAGACCTAACGAGAATCAATGATTTCTGACTTCTGGCCTTTTCGCTTCCGGTGCGCTTTTGAGGCCTCAGGATGGCCCTAAGATGGCCCCAAAGGCCCCCCAGACGGCCCCAAGACCGCCCAAAAGCGGCCCAAGAGCGTCCCCAGAGGCGATTTTGATGGCCCCAGGGGGGGGTACCAAACGTTACGACACCCTCTTTTCACCGCCGCCTTCCACGAGAGCCCCAAGAGGCCCTCCAGGGCTCCCAACAGGCCTCCAAGAGAGCCCCAAGACGGCCCCAAGAGGGACTCCGACGCTCCAAGATGGCCTCCAATATGGCTCAAGATGGGCGGCGATGCTTCAAGATAGCTTCTGGCCTACCTGCAAGAGGCCCCACGAGGGCCACAAGACGGTTCCAAGTGCTCTCGGAGTCCCCTCAGGACCCCCCAACCATCCCAAAATTTTCAAAGACCTAACGAGAATCAATGATTTCTGACTTCTGGCCTTTTTGCTTCCGGTGCGCTTTTGAGGCTTCAAGATGGCCCCGAGATGGCCCAAGAGGACTTGGGGCGATCTTGGGAGCTTGTACAGCCGTCTTGGAGACTGCGTAGGCGAAAATAACGGATGAAGGACACATACACGTTTTCCATCGAGAATGGAACGGTTTTTGCCTCTGCGAACTCTCCTCGGGGTCTTCCTGGGCCATCTAGAGGGCCTCCTGGCCTGCCTTGGATGCCTCTGGGGCCATCCTGGGGCTCGCTTGGGATCCTCTTGGGACGTCCGGGCGTCCTCTCGAGCGTCTCTGAGCCGTCTTTGGGCCGAGGACCTCGATCGAGGAACAGCAAGCGGCATTTACGTACACCTTCGGGGGTCCTCGCGGATTTCTTGGATCGGCGCCATAGCCCCGCTGGCAGCGCCTCTGGCGCCGTCCCTGGCGCGCTCCGCGCGGCAGTCGGGCCGGACGAAAGGGTAGGGTAGGCAAAGGGAGGGGTGCGAAATAATTTGCTGCATGCAGTTGTACATGGGCGCCTCCCGGCGCCAAGAGGTGCCACCAATGCACGTCAGCTGATTGTCTACCCTACCCTTTGCTATCGTACCCTTTCGCCCCCCCCAAGGAGATGGAGGCAGCGCGTGAGGGAGAGGAGTGTGGAGAAAGGTTCAGGGCGAACGATGCGGGAGGGAAGGGGGGTGCGTAAAGCGTGGATGGAGCAGAGAGGGGTGAGGAAGACGGGGCAGGGGTTGCCCCTCCCACCGTTCCCCTCTCATTGCGTTGGATCCTCTGCTATCCGCTGCTGGGGGGGTGTCCTGAACAAGATGGACTCCCAGATGGAAGCTGGTGAGCTGGCCCCATCGCTTGCTGTGCCATCGGCAAGGGGGGACTTCAGCACAGACCTTGCTACATGGGACGAGAAGGGGGAGGAGGAGCACGAGTGTGGGAGGAAGGCGGGGGACGGCAACGACGAGGACTGAGTCGGATCCAGAAATGTGGCCTGCACCAGGGCGAGAACTTCGCGCCGCGCGAAGGGAGAAATGCACCGACCTTCTTGGAAAATAGGGAGCGCTGCGGCGGGCACGCGACTCCGCGGGACCGGAGGCGTCCCCAGTGGAATGGAGAAGCACATGAAGCATCGCTTGGGTGGTTGGCTTCGTCCGCGTGCCTGTCTCCGATACGGAATTGCTCGGGAGGGGCGAACGAGCGGCTGCCAGGCGAGGGTGGAGGAGCAGCGCTCACGACGATCAATAGGATGTGTGTGTGCGTGTGTGCGTGAAGGGGGGGACACCAGGGAGAGGGAGGAAGTCCGCGCGCTCCGCCGTCTGGACTCTGGTAGGGTATGGACTCGCGCCCCTCCAGGACGGGCCCCCAGACATCCCCCAGACATCCGCACCTCGGAGATCCCAACCACTCGCCTGGCCTCTCCTGGATCCGTTTTGGGGACCACTATTTTTGTAACGTGGGGTGGGTTTTGCCGCGTTTGCCTGTGAAATTCTCAAGGCCGTAGCTGCAATATTACTGTCCAAAAAAGTGGAGGAACCGTCGGCGGTCGGGGTGTATTTTCCAAAGTGAGAATGATCTCGTGCCTCGGCGCATCCCCAATAGTGGTCGCTCCTCCCTTTCCCCCTCTGCCCTGTTCCTTCGGCCTCCTCCCGCCTTGCTCCTGCCGCCACTGCGTTGCCGGTCGGTGCTTCAGGCCACGGTTCGTAGCAGGAGTTTGCCTATGCCAGGTCGCTTTGTGCGATGCTCCTGGTTCGCCCGGCGACCTGTTTGCTTCGCGATCATGGCTGGGTCACCGTGGCGCGCTGCTGCGAAACAGCGCTTTGCGCCCCCGATCCGTGTCTGATGGTCCCGGGCCCCCAGGGAACAGGGGGGGAAGGAGGAGGAGCAAGAGGAGGAGGACCAGTGCAAGCCCAAGGCTCATCGACGATGTTGAAACAGACTCTCCCTCCAAGATCCCCCTTCGTGGGCCCCTACAAGGAGTCATTTCCACTCAGGGCCTCCAGGGGCCGCACTCCAGGAGGAGTGCCAGGGGTGGAACAACAACCGCTCGTCGGAGGCCCCGGTCCGCCCCCTCCTGCGAGCGCCCCCCCCCGCCCCGCAGGGGCCCCGCTGGGGCCCGCGCCTCCAGGGGGCCGCGCTCCGGGAGGAGTGCCAGGGCTGGAACGCAGCCGCTCGTCGGAGGCCCCGGTCCGCCCCCTCCTGCGAGCGCCCCCCCCGCCCCGCAGAGGGCCCCAGAACGCTCCACCAGGCGCATGGGGTCCCGCCCAGGCACCTTCCGGTGCCCGGGCCACGCGCCCGGGCATGGCAACAAGCACGCCGCTTTCTCAATTCGGACTGAGAAACTCGCGGTCATTACAAGATCCGCGGGCCGAGGGGGCCCCGCGGGGGCCCGCGCCTCCCGGGCCTCCTGCGGGGGGCCTCCCCCGGCGCTTGGCATCGCTCGGACGTGTGCATTTTTCCTTCGGCGAGGACCTTCGAGGAGCATCCTCGACCATCTGGCGAAAAAAACACGCACGAAACCGAAAAAACACAGGGAATGGACGTCCGAGCGATGCCCAGGGCGGGGCGGCCGTGGCGCCGCGCGCCGGCGCGCGGCGCGGCCAGGCGCTGGCGCTGAACGAGCTCGCCGAGCGCGAGTTCTCGGCGAGCCTGCAGCTGGAGGACCTGCGGGGGGCGCTGCGGGAGGCCCGCGCCGCCGTGCCGCCGTCCGCCGTCTCCTTCCGGCTGGCGGAGCGGTCGGGGGGCGCTCTGTGGCCACCGCCCCCCCCAGACCCCCTCGGGTCGTGAAAAAATCACGACGGGAGGTTTTTGTACATTTTCGGCCCCCGGGGGCCCTTACCGGGCCTCGGGACCGTCAGAAAACGACTCGGGATGAAAAACCGGTCCCAGGGAAGGGGTCCGGACCTCTGGGGGCCGCGTGATGAAAAAATCATGACGTCGGTGGTCTGGGCCGCGCGCACGCCGTGTGACGTCATCGGCTTGTGCGTCGGGGTGGCGTACAGAGGTCGCGTCCCTCGTGGGTGCTCGTGTTGTGCATCACGCAGGCCCCCTCTCTCTCGACGGTCTTGTGCTGGAGCAGCTCGTTTTTGGGGGTGGTGTGCAAGAGCCGTGTGCCCGAGCGAGGGGCGCTGCGTGGGCGTTTCGCTGGTGGGCTCAGGTGAAACGTTCACCTGCACGGGCGGTGTTCAGCCGCTTGCGGCCTCGTGGGGGCCCGCGTAGCACTGCGGATGAGAGATGGTGCCAAGGGAACCAGACCTCTGGGGGTGAAACAGCTCGACGTCGGACTTTCGACTCAGGCAAGTGTACTTGCATGGCACTTCCCGCCCTCTTCGCTCCGCCGCCTTCTTGTCAAGCATCGCTTGGCCGAGAAGCTGTGCAACCGAGTCCCTACTTGCGCGATCCCTTTTTTCTAGTTCCCTTTTTCGTAGTCCCTGTCTTGGAGGTTCTGCTTCGGTCGTCGGGGGGTCGCCTGCGAGGGTCCCGGGGGCTCCCAGAGGGTGCATTGAATCTCTTGGGGTTTCGGGAGTCGTCGGGCTTTCGTGGACGCTTCAGCGGGGTGCAGCAGAGAATACTGTACGCGTTCAAATCTCCAGTACGCGGGGCTTGGCGGATTTTGGCCTATCGGTCTCTGGCATGCGTGTGGGTCAGAGTCCTCAGGGATGCTTCTTGGTGCCTCTTCGGAGCGATCTCGGGGGCACTCCTGGGGGGCAGTCTTGGGGGCCTCTTGGGAGCCTCTTGAGAGCATGTTGGGGTCCTCTTTAGGGGGTCTCGTGATGGTTTCTAGGGCCTTTTTGGCGCCTCTTGGAGGCCACCTGGGGCCCCCATGGGGGCTTCTCGAAGCTGAGAGCTTGAAGTGGCCATTCGGGTTCCCCGCCTGGCCCCGGGCCCCCCTTGTGGAGCCGTCTTGAGGGCCTGCTGGGCCGTCTTGGAAGCCGTTTTGGAGTTGTCTTTGACAGTTTGGGGGTCCTCTTTGGGGGCCTCTTGGGCAGTTTGGGGGCGATTTGGGGGGCCCCTTCGTTCGATTTGGAGCGTCGGGAGCGCCATTATTTTTTATGCAGCGAGAAGACCAATGAGTGTTGCCTCTTGGGACGTCCTGGGGGCATCTCGAGCCATCTGGAGGCAATCTTGGGCGTCTTGGAGCGATCTTGCGGCGACTCGGGGCCCTCTCCAGACCCTCTTGGGGGCCTTTGGGGGCCCGCCTGGCCCGTAGTGGGGCCCTCTATGTCGCCATGGCGCGCGTTCGCGCCGAGGTCGTTCCAGAGGCCAGTAGGGGGGGGGGTGGGGAGGGTCCAAATTCCTGGTTTGGGGTCCCTTGCGGGGGAGGGTCGATTCTGCGGGGGGGGGGGGGGGGCCGAGCGCTGTGACACGGCTGGGGGCCCACAAGGGCTCGGCGTGTTCCCTCTGGGGCCTGGCTGCCCCTCCGCCTCCTTCCGCCTCGGCGCAGGCGAGCTTGCCATGAGGGCTCAGCTTTCCCCCACCACCACCATAGCTAGGAGGAGGAGGAGGAGGAGGAGGTGGAGGAGGTGGAGGAGGAGGCGCAGGAGGAGGAGGAGGAGGAGGAGGAGGAGGAGGAGGAGGAGGAGGAGGAAGATGAGGAGGGTGGAGGAGGAGGACCTCTCCATCCTCCCTTCTCCCTCGTCTCACCTATGGTAGTGGTGGTGGGACATTAGCCCATCATGCCAGAGTCTGGGGGACTGGAGGCCTGTGGCGAGGAGCGGCGATGGGCATCGGACGGCATCGGAGTGAGCTCTCGGAGGTCCCCGCGGACCTGTTGGGCGGGGGAGCGGTGCTCTGGGAAAGCCGTCCTTGGTCGGAAGCTGGGCGAGGGCTGCTGATACCGTGGCTGCTGAAACGGCCCTCCCGGAAGGAAAAAACAACTTCCCGGAATGAGGCGCGGCACGCGAAACAGTCGACGGCCTTCTTCCCGGAAGGACGAAGACAACTTCCCGGAGGTCGATTTTAGCAGCCACGGTTTTAGCAGCCCTTGCCCGGCTTCCGACTTGGGGCGGCGACGAGGGGGTCGCAACAGCGAGAGCCGAGCTGTCTCCAAGCAGAGATCATCCTGAGAGCGAGCGGTTTTCGCAGGAGGAGCGAAGATCTGCACCACCATTGCCACCGTGAGGAGACAGGGAGGGTTATCCTTGTGGTGTGGCCCCCTGCTTTGCGGGGTCTCGCCCAAACCGCCTCCAGCTCGAGACATCGTGGGCCTCCTCGCTGAAGGTGGCCCGCTGGAGGTAGTCGTTGTGCCGCTGTTCTTTTCCGCTTCGGAGAGTCATGATTTGATGCCACCTTGATCTGGGGAAGCTCCCATCCCATCTCCAGCTCCCATCCCACTCTCCGACTCTGGCTCCGATTCCGACTCTCATCTCTCCGATTCTGGCTCCGACTCCGGCTCCCATTTTTCCGACTCCGGCTCCCATCCCATCTCTCCGACTCCGGCTTCCATCTCCCCGACGCCTGCCCCAGCTCCGGTCTCATGTATCCGATTGTGGCGGTACGTGTCGTTCTTCCAATTCCTGATCGTCCCAACGACGGCGACGAAGAGCAATGAATCCATCCAGTGAGCGGCAGGCCGTGTCCAACTCGGTTCCCACTTCTCCGACTGCGGGTCCGGCACCCACTCCCATCTCTCCGACTCCGGCTGCCATTTCCCGACCCCGGATCCCATTGCCCGGCTCCAGCTACTGAGCGGCCAGCCCATACCGGCTCCCCAGCGCCCACCCGCCGCACCCTTGTAGGTGCCTCGATGCGGACTCTTGTCTTGTTTGGCTTGATTTGGGAAAGCATTTGGCATCGTTTGGGGAAACCCTTGCCTAGCGTCGCGAGTTGAGAACCAAGGGGGGGCACATACTACGACCCTAATAATTCGCGTTTGCTAACAGACCTTGGCGTTTATTACGCAGCCCTTCCCTCTTCGATCTATCCTTTAGGTGCGTTTAGTCAAGGCTTTCGCTCATGTTTTTTCCTCTGCCCTCGAGAGAACCCCTCCTGCGCATGTCGTCGTCGATTTGCTCACCAGGTTCTGGCATGCCTGGCGCCTTGGCGCCCACCTGCCGCGCCATCGCTGGCGACAGCTGCGGGCCCTATGCCCGGCCAGAGGGAATCAGCATTTCTCAGCACCCGCCGAGACAGGCATCCGGCACTAGGCGCTCCGGCAGCGCGCAGGAGGGAGGCAGGAAAAAACGGCACTTTCGCACGGGCTGGCGCAAGACAGGGACAGGAGAGCTCCACCCTCCTGTTTCTTGTTGTTCCCCACATCCAAAGTGGGGTTCTCGTTTTCTCTGGACACCCCGCGCAGGAACAAGAACCCACACCCACTCGCCCACTCACTCACACTCACTCACTTAACTAGTCAGACACTCACCCACCCACTCACCCAATCATTCACTCATTATCATCAGCATCGTCACTGTCAACACCGCGTCACCAGCACTCGTCACAAGCAGCACTCAGCATCACCACCACTCATCATCATCATCATCATCAGCAGCAGCATCATCTTCATCACCAACGCCATCACCCATTGATCATTCACCATCATATTCATCACCACACATTATTATCAACAACATCATCGCCACTCGCCCAGTTATCATTTCGTGGTCACTCACATAATCCTTTCGGCAAGCCTGTAAATGCCGTCACTTTTGGATTCCTCAGGTTTGAATTTGGAGGAAGTATCAGGCGGGAGACTCGCCTGTGAGTGAACTGTGAGGAAGTCTCAGGCGGGAACCCCTACCTATGGTGCCCGCAGGTCATATCAGTAATCCGAGCGGGCCATTCGAAAATTTATAATTGTCGTCAGGCTTGAATATGGACAAAGTATCAGGTGGGAGCCTCGTCTGTGGGTGAATTTGGACGAAGCCTCAAGCGGGAGCTCCTTCCCCATGGTGCTTGCAGCTCATCTGGGTAATCCGAGCAGGCCATTCGAAAACTTGTAACTGTCGTCAGTCTTGGGCTCCTCAGGCTTGACGTTGGAGGAAGTGTCAGGCGGGAGCTTCGTCTGTGAGTGACTTGTGATGAAGTCTCAGGCGGGAGCCCCGCAGCTCATAGAAGAAATCCGAGCGGGTCGTTCGAAACCTTGTAACCGTCGTCACTTTTGGGTTTCCCAGGTTTGAATTTGGAGGAAGTATCAGGCGGGAGCCTCGCCTGTGAGCGAAATGCGAGGAAGTGCCGGTGCGAACAAGCTTGCTGGTGCGAGCAAGCCGTGCCGTCGCACGTGAGCCCCATGAGTCCAATTTGTTTCTCTTATGTTTCGTGTTGCACGTGAGTGGTCGGGCGGGTTTCCGAAGGGCGCAACGCCGGTGCGAACAAGTCTGCCGGTGCGAGCAAGTGTGCCGGTGGGAGCAAGCCGTGCCGTCGCACGTGAGCCCCATGAGTCCCATTTTTGTTTGTATGTCTCGTGTTGCACGTGAGTGGTCGGGCGGGTCTCCGTTCCATAGCTTGCGTTGGGGGCCCCTGCCCTCCCCACACCGCCAGGCACCGCGTCGCGGCGCGGGCGATGGCGACTGCGCAGCCGGTCAGGCCCCACGCTGGCATGTCCATGAGGGTTGTGCCACTGCTCGTGGGGATTTTCAACCCGTTGTCCGCGCTGGGGTCCAGGGCCGAGGACATTGCCGACGAAGTCAGCAATTTCGACGTTTTCGCGCTCGTGGGCACGCAGTCCAAGGCCCCCCCTGGTTATT